GCAGGTCTTTGTATTTTGTGATTTTCTCCAGTTCTTTCTCTTCCATTCTGCTGTCTCCAGGGATTGCAATGTCCCCTATCCAGACTCTTCGTCTTTCTTATCAACAATGGTCAAGTCTGCGGTGTTGTGTGGCAGGTGCTTGTCTGTTTCAATTCTGAAGTCCCAGAGCACTTTAGTTTCTTCATTTTCTATTACTTTGTCTGTTCTGTGGTCCCACCAGTCCTTGCTTGCAGGCAAATGGTATTTCTTGCAGATATTCCAATGCACCATCGTTGCTACTTTATCATGCCGTTTTTTGTAGTCCGTCTGTGCAATCTTCTTTTTTTTTTAATTATTATTATTATTTTAAATGTATACGCTGCCCGACTCCCAATGATTCTGGGTGGTTACAAATAAAAACGTTAAAAACAAGACAAAAGACAAAAGACAAAAACGAAGGGCAAAGATGGCAAGAAGGACAAACTAAAAACAGACAGGAATGAAAAGAAACGAAGCTACGCCGTCCAAAGGGGGCTTCACTTTCCTTCGCCAAAGGCCTGGGTGAAGAACCAGGTCTTCAAGGTCCTTCAAAACAGCAGCAAGGTGGGGGCCCATCCAGATCTCAGGAGGAACCTCATTACATGTCTCCCCAACTTAAAAAACTGGAGAGAAACCTGAAGTTTTGACCCCGTCTATACTATTTGATCTGAGGCTGTAGGAAATCGAAGAGAAACAAGATCTACTGTTGCCTTCCATTCGTTCAGACGATAGTAGAAGATCAAGACCCAACCCATTAAGAACAGCTTCTCTCTTTCTTCAGAGTTAAAGAAGCGTGCTTTGTCGTTGTGTTGGTCATTGTGCTGCTTTCATGTCTTTATAACTTAGTGGACATCGTTTTGCTAGGAGCACTTCTGTGAGTGCTGGAAAGCTTCTGCTTATCTCATATCTAACTGTTTTGTCTTTAGACCAGTGTTTCTCAACCTCATCGACTTTAAGATGTGTGGACTTCAACTCCCAGAATTCCCCCAGCCAGCCATGTCAGGATCTGGGGTTGGATGGAGGGGTCTCCTCTCTTGGTGGGGGAGACGTTTGATTGGTTCTGCTCCCCCACATGCCATGGACACCTCTAGTCTTGCCTGTTTGTTTTTAGCTGTAATTCATCTGATGATTCTAACCCTAGGTATAAGACAGGGGTCTTCAAACTTTTTCAGGCCACAGAAACTGTTAGTTAAAAAAAAATCAAGAAGCAAGAGGCAAAGCCATCTGTGATAGGGGGTTCTGCAGAACATAGTGTCAGCCCTTCAAGGAAGACCAGATTGGGAAACAGGATGACCAGAACGATGCTTTCTCAAGATAGGCTATAATAACAGAATCTTGTAAGTCTGTCCATGTCTTCCCTTCCCTCCTCCTTATACCCCAGCAAGGGGCTGCCCTGAGCCTCTTTGTAATCTCCCACCCCTCTGGACTTAACTCACATTTCTTGCGCACTTGATTTTTTCCTAATGGCCTCTGGATTCCTTCTCCAAGGTCATCTCCCTGGCTCTCTACACACAGTTTGAGTGACTCCAGTGTAAGCCACCTACCTCTGAAGCAGCACACAAGTTGGCAAATAAATTAAACATATCTAACATAAATGTTTACTTTTAGGGGTGGGTGGGAATTCACTAACTGATAAAATTAGTCGGGTGAGGGTTTTATTTGTTGTATTGACAGGCTCTGCAAATGCTTAGTTTTATGATTCAATCGGCGTGAGTCAGAAACAACTTTAGGTCATTGTCTTCATCTAGTAGCAGTTAATTTTATTATACATGAGAATAAAATAAATATAGCTCTGTCTAATAAATATGTAACTGTTGATACAATTTACTGCTTCTTTGAAATCTATCTCACATACATACATACACAGCCTTAAAAAAGCTTAAAACTACACTAACTGCACTTTTGGGACTCTGTGTGTGTGTGTGTGTGTGTGTGTAAAGCACACATACACATTCAATCCTGCCCTTTTCCCCTTCTATGACAAAAATGCTGTGAGAAGATGGAGGATGGGATTTAGGGTATCTTCCATTTAAAGCAGATTCTTCTTAGTTTTACATCTGCATTAAGCCTGCTGGTGGCCCAGAACAGGAACATCTCTGGAGGGGTCACCAAGGTCAAGAGGGCAGCTTCGATCCCATCCTTGTGGCTGCCCACTTGGCCTTTTTGCATCTACCTTGCTGGACAACCCTGGCCCAGTCCATCTCTTGGCTTCATTTCCCCCCCAAAAATCCCACTGTGAAATATGAGCAATACAAATGGGGTGGGGCGGAGGGAGGGGGACTCTGAAGAGAAAAGAAGCTGATGGCTACAAGACTTGATGACCCACTTCTGCCCAAGCCCATAGAGAGCTGTGTAACCATTAGAGGTAGATCAATTCCTCTTCTGGATCAACAACTTGGTGAAATCCCAAGGGATCGTTGGCTTCCCTTCCCCTGCAAGCAACTTGTTTCTCCCCTCCAGAAACCAGCGGTGATCCCTAACTCTTTCTCCCTCTTCTACAGAGCCAGCGTCTGGAGGATCAGCGCACGGAGCCTCCTATCCCGGTAGGAATTCAAGGGCTGCTGGATTTACTGCTCACAGCCCAAGGAACCAGGATGGAAGATCAGCGCTCTGCACCTCCTCCTGGCCTTGCTGCCCCACCCTTACTAAGAAGACATCCCTCCTTTCTACATGGTATATGAAACTCCTCCCAAGGCTCTCCTTCCATCATTTGGGAGTTCCAGAGACTTTTGACATGGTTAAAAGCTGGAACTGTGTTGACCTCAAATGAAGGTTTGGGGGACTGAGAAATCAAGCTCTGCTATGTTGGGAAACTTTGTACAGTAAAAGTGCCATGGTTTGTAGCACAAGGATGAGCAAAACTCAGGCTTCACCCCACTGCAGCTTTGCAAACGGCTAATTGTTTACTGGTTATGACATCTGTCCTTTCTAACGCTCGGTGGAGACACCTTCCACCCATCTCTACTTCCTCCCCACCAAAAGCCCTTAGTGGCAACAGCAATGCATTTACAAGGACCGTGAAAAGTCACAAAGTGGTGCCATGATTTTAAAGGTTTAGTGGTGGCATGAGAAAGAACATACTCTTGGTAAAGGGGATGGGAAAAGCCCTATTTGCAATATATGACAGTCTTAAGATGCTTCGAGGCCGTGGATTTAAGCTTAGCACGTTCATCCCAAAAGCATAAGGCACAATATTTCAGCTAACGCGTCCCTGCAGTGGATAAGCTCTTAATTTAGCACTTTTCCTAAATAATTTGATGTTGAGTGCAACCTTTCTGAATCTGGGGCCCTCCAATTGGGGCCATGCAGGGTAAGAATTAGGGAAATGGGTCAACACATCTAGTAAGTTAGACCTAGAGTTTATTTGAAAAGCACAAAATAAATTCAGCTGCTTTCATTTGCTTGCTAAGAAAAGAGACAGCTGATGGACTTCTAATTCTTAAAAACATTATGGACCCTGTTTTATTTAAGAATTTCAGGAGAGGCCTGCTGGATCTGGCCCTCCACCCATGTAATCCAGCATTCTGGGTCACGCAGTAGCCCACTAACTATGCTGGGGAAACTCACAAGCCTAGATTGGAGGGCTTGAGTCTCCTTTTCTTGTTTCTCCCTACTCGTGGGGCTGGGTACTTTCAGACCTCAAGCCCCATGGCAATCTCTCACCCATTGTCTAGGTACGGAGTCCCTGCTGTGAGATGGGCAGGCATATAAATTGTTTAAATAATTATACCATAGGTACTTCCCACCCCAAATATTAAAAAAAAAGGGCTGTCGAAATTAGATTGTGTTCCCATTTGGGGAGAGTACGGTGTTCATGCACGACTTGGTTGCACACGTGAAGTTTTGGAATTTGTAAACTTTGAAGAGAAGGCTTTGGAATCATCTTTTGGGGGTCTTATGTACATCTTGGACCCCCAGATGCTATGTTGCCAACTCTCATTCTTCAGTCTGCTGGACTTCAATATGTTGGGATCATAATTCCCAAAATTCAGGGTGTTGTTGTTCCAATCTCTGTAGATTTAAAGGCTCTGTGGTCAGACTTTTGAGTTCCACACTCCCCGTGCATCTTTGTACTGGAAGTGGAACCGTGATTGGATTTTCTTACCAATTAAGCTATTTTCCCCCATAACATATATAGCACATAAGAGCTAACAAAACCTGCAGCAATTGACTGCTTCTCATTCTTCATGCACAATTGCGCTTTAACGCGGTTGTAATAAATTATGTTGTGAAGCTACAGTATTGTGATTCTATGCAAGAGAAATAGTCAATTCAAGATTAGGTGAGCATGTTCCAGGGAAGTGAATGGTGAATGAACAAACAGGTGATGCTATAGAAAAGTAACAATGGGCAAACCAGCACCACCTGTGCTGGCTCAGAATGATACAAGCCCTAATTCCTGATTTATTTTGAATGAGTGCTGTATGGGTGTAAGCAAACTGTTTCCTCTCGTTTTGTTCCAGCTAATCTAGAAATGGTTTGCTGAGAATTATATCTAAACCTCTTTTCTACTCAAAACAAGCTGGGATCATGACAGAATTTATTTGGGAATAGCAAATCAGGATCATGGGTTTGTCGTAACTCTAAATTATTTGTAGTTTGTTTATCTCCTTGCATGAATGAGAGATGTAAAACAAGAGTGAATGAGCCCTGTGTGCTATTATACGTTGTCCAAGGACACCCAGAATAATCTAGATTTATTCTATCTGAATGTGCCAATTAACACACATTAAAATACAGGCAGAGTTTCAAACACAGTCATGGCCACCATTTTGACTTTTTTGACCATATCTTACAGACAACCCTGGCCAGATGCGTAAAGGGAAGATAAGCGCTTACCACATATTAGAATTGCTTGTGGATTATCGCTGGCTGTTTGGCCAAGCCACTTCTTGTTCTTCTGAGGTCAAAATTAGGGAAAACAATGAGAACAGATTGCGGAAAGTAGAATAAAGTTGGCGGCGGGGGGGGGGGAATTTGACTCCTCTTGTGATTTCTATTCTCCCCATCCAATTGCAGAGCATTAAATGGTTTTGTTTTTTAAGAATGGCTTTCATTCTTTTCATCTGGCAATTTAAAGAGGAACTGATTTGATTTTAATTTAATTTGGGGGAATAAAGAGCATTTAAAACACACAGACACACACACGTGCATATATACAACTGTATCCCCAAGACCCTTGGGGTAAATATTGTTTAATGCCTCTTAAGGGAGTTTTGGCCAAAATGAAAGCTGGCCTGTCGCTCTCCATGGATGAACAGGCTCTCCAAGGAAGGGCTGTGTAAACTCTTGCAAGCTAAGGGGAGAAAAAAAAAATAAAGTGGATACGATTTTAAATTAATTAAAAATGGGTAACATAATTGCTTTCTGTACTGAATTTTTTAAAATCTCTGTCACATTAAAATTGCATTTGGGGGGCTCCTTTTGGAGGGAGTCATGTGTTGAAACACAGTCGTCGTTGCAAGTCAGTTGTAGGCAAAGCTAACTTTTATTTATCTATTTATATTTTTTACAAGGCCACCCATCTCACAGTAGTGACTCTGGGTGGGGTACAAAGTTAAAACCAGCCATTAAAACAATCCAAATAATAAGTTCCAAGGCTGCAAACAGCAAATTCCAACTTAAAATTTATTTATTTGATTTATCCTGCCTTTATTTTTTGTCAATTCAAGGCAGCATACATACCGAAGGCTCCCACCTCCTATTTTCCCCACAACAACAACCCTGTGAGGTGGGCTGGGTTGAGAGAGGACTGGCCCAAAGTCACCCAACCAGCTTTCATGCCTAAGGCAGGACTAGAACTCACCATCTCCTGGATTCTAGCCCGGTGCCTTCACCACTAGACCAAACTGGCTGCCTAATAATAAAATATAATAAAATAAAAAATAATAAAATAAAATAAAAAATAAGGTAAAATACATCGACCGGCATAGCCAGCCCCAATCCTGGAGCAGTGTTTCTCAACCCTGGCAACTAAGATAAGTGGACTCTAACTCCCAGAATTCCCCAGCCCAGCCCAGGCTGGCTGGGGAATTCTGGGAGTTGGTCCACCCATCTTAAAGTTGCCAAGGTTGAGAAACACTGCTGTACTGTATTATGTATTATGCTGCAGCAGCCGCATAATAGGCCAATTCATCCAGTGGGGCAGGGGACAAATTTGGAGCCGCATCAATGGCAGTCTTTAAAGGGTGCCAAACATCAGACATTCATTTTGTGATGGATCTCCTTGATACGCAATCAGAGAAATTGAATTTGTTGGTCTTCGCCTTGTGGAAAAGCCGATAAAGTTTTTGACGCTGGGCGGTTTACCTTTATGGGACAATCTAGACTTGATTTGCCCTTCAAGGTCGCGGGGTGGATTACAGCGTGGCTCTCTACCCACGGGGGGGGAGGAGGTGTTTCACAATGGCCATTATGACGTCACAAACGGAGCGTTCTCTTTTTCCGACGGCTTGAAGGTTCCATCGTACCGTGAACTGCCTTGAGTTCTAAGGAGCAGGCGGCCTATAAATTATTGTAGAAGTCAATCGCCCCAAGATCAACCTGTTTAAACCATAGCAAAAATTCTCAGCGGAGCTAAAATAATGCAACTTCAACAAATGACGTGGCCCACCGTTACAGTAATAAGAACATACTCCAAGGACTAAAAGGCGCTGCTATGGCAGACGGCCGATGCACCCTGGCTACAGAGGACACCGAGAGGGAGGACCTGGAAGAAAACTCGCCGATCCGCCCCCGCCCTCGCCAGCTTGGCCAAAGCAAACTTCTTGGCTGTCTCGCTCCGCCCCTTTCTCCCCCAGCTGCATCGGCCACGTCAGCGAGAAACTCCGGTCCGGCTGCAAGCTTGACAGAGAAACGGGGGTGAGGAAGAGGAGCTGGGGGCGGGACGCTCTGCCCCCCCTCCGCCGAGGACCCTCCTCTCTCGCTCGCCGCCCTTCCTCCCGCCAGCATGGTTCTGCTCACCATGATAAGCCGGGTCCAAGACGGGCTACTTTTGGCTGCTTCCATGCAAGAAACGGAACAGGTAAGTGGGGAGCAAGAACAGGGGCACCCTGTATCCCCCCACGGCTCCAGCCTCTGGATTGGCCACCTCGGTGGTTCTTAAGTGCACTTGCGATGCCTTAAACCAGTGTTTCTCAACCTTGGCAACTTTAAGATATGTGGGCTTCAACTCCCAGAATTCTGGGAGTTGAAGTCCACATATCTTAAAGTAGCCAAGGTTGAGAAACATTGCCTTTGACTAATATTGGCATGATCCGTTGATGTAAAGTGGTGCTTCCCAAACCCAGGTAAATTACCCAAAAGTGGGTAAAAGTGGTTTTTCTTTAGGTAACGACACACGAACCCATTATCCATCACAACAGGGACATTTAAATGGACTTAAAGATTGCCACATGTACTAAAATATATTTAAAAATCTCCCCGAGCATTCCTATTATGATGAAAATCGATGAAATTACCAAGGGTAATCTGTTGAAACGACCTAAAGATCATTCAATGAGATGGTGTTTATAATATAGATACAGTAGTCCTCGAGTTATGACCATTTTGGGGGGTAACGAAGGAAAAAGTTTGGGGAGCACCGCCTTAGACACGCCGTTGTTGACAACTTTTATTGGAGAAAATGGATGGCCTTGGTTTTATTTGCTTTTTAAAACCCTGAACAGCCCATTGTGAGCAAGAAACGCAGCGAGGCTTGCTTTACGAGCACGGAAAAATAATTTGCTTGGTTTTATTTTATATCTCCCCCCTCCCCACTGGTTTATTTGCTGGCATTCTTTGGTTACTGTGGGCCTCCTTAGGCAATGTGGCAGGAACAGAATAGCAAAGGGCATTCTATTCCTGGCACGTTTTCTCTGCTCAGAGTTCGGTTCGGACCGAAGCAAGGCTGGAGGGTCTTGCTCTTCCAAATGGGGCCCTTCGGTCTTTCTTGTGGGGTGCCAAACTGGCTTGCTGAGGGAAGAAGGCTGAAAATACTGCATTTTCTCTCTTTCTCCCGTCCCATCATCCTTCTTCCCTCGGCAAACGTGGATTTTGCTGCCAGCGGTTGTGGCCAATGGCGGTCGTTGATTTTCCAAGAGATGTAGTTGAGTGGAGGAAGGATCATGCTAACCATGCCTCTAGGACTGACAGCTCTTTGCCTCTTCCTGGGTCATAAGTTCAGGTCAGAATTACCAGTTGTGGGAAGCAGCAAGGAAAAGGGAGTCTCACTTTCCCAGATTTGGAGTTTCTTGAAGACATCCTGGCTGCTGGATAAAACAGAACGGATGGACCGACGGCCGGATCCAGTAAGGCCGTTGTGACATCCTTAGCTGTGCTGAGCATTGGATTCCTTTGGTGGGAATGTGTCAATGCGCTACCACGTGCTGGCAGGAGGCGGACTAGAGGCCAGATCAGAACTAGCTGGGTGGGCCCAGAGTAGAAGTAGGCGGGGCCATCCTCTCTTCCTTGTTCTCTTTCTTAACCCTTTTTCAGTGTTTTTCAACCTTGGCCACTTTTTTTTTTGGGTTTATCTCAAAACTCCCCCCTCACCCCCCCCCCCCAAACCTCGGGGGGGTGGGGGGGGGGGGTG